GTGCAGGCGGATGAAGTGAGCCTCGGAGGTACTGCAGGCCGTGCGCCGCTGCCTCCCGCTACTGCTGCTGACGGTGGTGCCACTGCTGGTGTGCCAGGCGCGTCTTGCGACGGCTCCGACGTCGACGATGCTACCCTGGACGGGGAGGCCGACGCGGACACCTCGTGCTCGGTCGGCGAGCCGCCAGGTGCCGACCATGCCGGTACTGCTGCAGCAGCCGCCGCGTACCTCGCCGCCTTCCCGCAGGCCCTCTTCAGCGGGGGCGGTGGCGGCAGGGGCCGCTGCGAGGTCGCGGCAGGGGACTGGTGGCGAGCGAGGGCCGTCGTTGCCCGCGTTTGGCTCACCACAGGTGCTGCGACGGTGCAGGAAAGCGGTGCTGCTGGATCTGCCGCCCCGCCGCCGCCGCTGCCTGACGATCTCCTGCGGGCCGAGTGCCCGATGTCGGGGCGTGCTGCAGGCGCTGTGGCGCAGCCTCTGCTGCGGAGGGTCCGCTTCGCAGATGCCCCGTGCGTGCTCGAGATTGGCTGTTGCTCGGGCATGCGTGGTATCCTTCGGCGGGAGAGCGTGCCGGGGTTTCTGGATCCCGCTTGGACGCGCCACGCCAAAGCTGTTGACCTGATGCACATGATCGAAGGCGACTCCTTTGGCCTCACGGTTCCTCCCATGCGGAGGCCGCACCTACGTCGTGCGCGATTGTCCGTCAGTGGCCGTCTGGGCGAGGCCGTCAGCCACAACGACAGCGACGACGACAGCGTAGGCGGCCGGGGGCAGGAGCATGCCGACGGCGATGCTGCTACTGCCTGCTCCGCCACCGCTGCGTCGGCGCTCAGTGGAGCGATCGCGACCTACCTCGGCGTGAACGAAGCCGCACTCCTCCGTGGAGACGGAGACGGCGGTCGAACTGCCGCGGGATTCGCTGAGCTGGCCGTGCCGACCGAGGACGCTGAGGGCGAAGTGCGGCGATGGCTCGCCGACTGGTCAAAGGTGGCTCACATTTGCTCCCTGCAGGAGCAGCTGGGGGCTGCTAAGAAGGAAGTGCAGCTCCTGCGCTGGAAGGCAGGGTGGCTGGAGATTGACTCCGTCGGGGTGAGGTGCAGGGCAGGCCTGCCGTTCGTCCTCCAAGAGTCTGGGGGCCGCCTCGCCTGGCATGAGTTCTAGGAGCGGGGGCAGGGACTTCGGCGAGGCCCGTTGTGTGTTTCAGCCCCCACGTGAGGTCAGGCCCGTTTGGCTTTGCAATGCGTGTGCTGGCCTCACCTCGAGGTTCGTGAGGCCCTTCGTCACTTGTTGAGAAGGTGGGCCTCGCGTCTCATTTGCAGCGAGGCAGACTTCCTGGCCGTGCTTTGCGTGCCTCAGTCTCCGCTGCTGTCTTGATTTCTTTGAAATCTTGCGCTTCGCGCGTTTGGCGCTTCGCGCCCTCCCCTGCGGAGGCTCCTTCGGGGCCCCTAGGGTTGGCCCTTGAGGCCCTGGGGCCAACGGGCTCCGTGGGCCTCGGGCTCCTTTTAGCCTTCATAGGCCCCGCAGCTCACATCCGTTTGCTCCGTGCATTCGCATTTCTTGTATTTGAATGTGTACGTGAGCTCTTCTGTGCAGCTTCGCTGCTTCTGATGCCTCTCGGCACTGCCCGCCCTCGTGGCCCTGGGGCCTAGGCGCCCCCGTTGGCCCTGGCGGGCGTCTGGCGCTCCGCGGCCCCCTGTGGAGGCCCCTTTCGGGCCCCCAGGGCTGGCCCTTGAGGCCCTGGGGCCAATGGGCTCCGTGGGCCTCGGGCTTCTATTAGCCTTCATAGGCCCCGCACGACACGACACACAAGAGCACGGCAGGCCACACAGGAGCACGGCAGACCACACAGGAGCACGGCAGACCACAAAGGAGCACGGCAGACCACACAGGAGCACGGCCCGTAGCCATTTTGGCTCAAGCCTGCTCGGGCGCGCGCGCGCAGCGTGTGCTTGGGAGCGATGGCGACGGGAGGGGGCCCTCCGCGGTTCCCCCGCTCGCGCGGCGAGCGCAGCGAGGCTGCGCGGCGAGCCCGTGCCGCGGCCGATGCGGCCGTGCGGCACGCCCGTGCGCGCGCCGGCGAGCTGGAGAAGGAGGTCGCGCGCCTCAGGGAGGTCATCGCGGGCCTCACGGGTGGCGTGCCTGCTGCCGAGCCTGGCTCGTGGCAGGACAGGGAGGCTGCCGCTCGGCCCGCCCTGATCCTGGCCTCTGGCGGCCGGCCCGTGCCAGGGGCCGTGAGATTCCGCCGGAACACGGCCTTGCACGCGGCTCGTGCGCCTGCAGCGGGGTTTGCGGCGGCACCGCGGGCTGGCTTGGCCTGGGCGGCGGCGGGTCCGCGCCTTGGAGGCGTGCTCGGCCGGGGGGCGGCGGCCGCCGTCGTGTGCGAGGTCGAGATCTGCGAGTGCGAGGTGCCCGCGCGGCCCTCCCCTCCGGCCCCGCCGCGACGTGAGCTGCCAGAGGCGGCCGACGCGAGGCGCACGCCGCTTAGCTCCGCGCTCTCGGAGCAGCTCGGCTTGCTGCAGGGCGACCTGGCGAAGCTGTCCGAGCGGAAGGGCGCGCTCGAGGAGGGCGCTGAGCTCACGGTCGAGCTGGAAGCGCTCCCGCAGCGGCTGCGCGCGCTGGAGGACACCGCCGAGCCCAAGGCCGAACTGGAGGCGCTCTCGGAGCAGCTTGGCTCGCTGGCGGGCGACGCGGCGACGGGGTCCGAGCGGCAGGGCGCGTTCGAGGAGTGCGCGGAGCCTAGGGGCGAGATGCAGGAGCTCTCGCAGCGGCGTTGCGCGCTGGGGGATTCTACCGAGGCCGAGGCCGAGATGAAGGCGCTTTCGGAGCAGCTTGTCTCGCCGAAGGGAGACGTGGCGGCGTTGTCCGAGCGGCAGGGCGCGCTCGCGGAGGGCGCCGAGCCCACGGTCGAGCTGGAGGCGCCCTCGGGGCGGCTGGGCGCGCTGGAGGAGGGCGCCGAGCACACGGTCGAGCTGCAGGTCGACCTGGCGGCGCTGTCCGTTCGGCAGGGCGCGCTCGAGGAGGGCGCCGAGGCCAGGGGCGAGCTGGAAGTGCTCTCGCAGCGGCCGTGCGCGCAGGAGGCGACCACCGAGCAGCTGGTCTTGCAGAAGGGCGACCTGGCGGCGCGGTCCGAGCGGCTGGGCGCGCTGGAGGAGGGCACCGAGCCCAAGGGCGAGCGGGAGGTGCTCTCGAAGCCGATGAACGCGCGGGAGGCTCGGGGCGAGCCGAAGGAGGCGCAGAAGGCCTCCCGCCTAGCGTTCAGCGAGAGCTTGTTTTACTTCCTGGACGATTTCTCGGTGGCGGCGGTGCTGTGCGTGGCCATTGGGCCCAAGACGGGAGTTGAGGCACTCCTGAGCTCGGCCGAGGCCCGCTTTCTCGGCGTCAGCCCCAGCACTGCAGGCTGGCCAGATGCCGAGGAGCGTGAGCGTATCCTCGAAGGCCGCCTGCAGGTCGTCCAGATGCCGAGGGGCGTAAGGGGCCCCCTCGATGATTGAGGCAAGCAGTTGCTTTCCGTTTCTGCTGCTTGCCTTGCGTGCGGACGCTAATTCCGTTTGCTCCGTGCATTCGCATTTCTTGTATTTGAATGTGTACGTGAGCTCTTCTGTGCAGCTTCGCTGCTTCTGATGCCTCTCGGCACTGCCCGCCCTCGTGGCCCTGGGGCCTAGGCGCCCCCGTTGGCCCTGGCGGGCGTCTGGCGCTCCGCGCCCCCCTGCGGAGGCCCCTTTCGGGCCCCCAGGGCTGGCCCTTGAGGCCCTGGGGCCAATGGGCTCCGTGGGCCTCGGGCTTCTTTTAGCCTTCATAGGCCCCGCACGACACGACACACAGGAGCACGGCAGACGCCACAGGAGCACGGCGGAACCCACAGGAGCACGGCAGACCACAGAAGAGCACGGCAGACCAACAGGAGCACGGCAGACCACACAAGAGCACGGCAGGCCACACAGGAACACGGCAGAACACACAGGAGCACGGCAAAGCATTCAGGATCAGTGCAGGTCGCAGGGGCGCCGCGTATCACAGGAGCACACCAGACCAACACGGCCAATCAGCACGGCAACGCCAGGAGTATAGCAGAGCACAGGAGCGCGCCTTAATTTTTTTCCAGTGCGCAATGCCGTGGGTGCTCTTGATAGCCCTCGACGATTAAGGTCACTCTCTCACGTGCTCTATGTTGTTGGCATATGTTGTATTGGGCTCAATGTGGTTGCAAAGCTGCGGCAGGGTGTGCGCGGTGGAGGTGCTTCTATTAGCCCTGTCAGATCCAACTTTCTAGTAGGTGATCCTCGGGGCGATTCTTACCGATGTTTATTTTCGGCATGCTCCGACTGGCGTTCTATATGATGTTCTGTGGGTCTCTTGTTTGTCCAGCGCGTGCTGCTAAGACGATCAAGTATTGCACAGGGTATCACAAGACCCGCCGTGGTGAGGAGCCCCCCAAGGCTCAGTCCGGTTATGACGGTTACTGCAAGTCTTGCTACAAGGAGAAGCATCCTACTCTGTACCGCCAGAAGCAGGAGAAGAGAAAGGGATGTTGTCGATTCTGCGGTGCGCAGCGCGAGCTCAGCGGTGGCATGTGTAAGCCGTGTTATCGGTCTCGCAGCTGCCCTGAGTGTACCTGGTGCAACGAGGAAGACGAACCAACGCTGTGCGTGGCCTGCGAGTCACGCGAGAAGCACCCGCAGGCCGCGGGAAAAAGATGTGCCATGGCGTGTCCGACGCACACTTCGCCTGAGGAACGCAATCTCAAGCTGTGCTCCGAGTGCTTTACATATTCGATCCCTTGTTCGCACTGCGCTGCGCCGACTCCTGCTGGCTCCTTGACTCGGTCGAAGTGTAGCAACGAATCTTGCGACGCATCAGTGGTGTTGTGTAGCGCGTGTTCTGGCATGTCTAACGGGCAATCGAAAGCGAAGTGCCAGTCGTGCTGGGCCCAGGACGGTCGGTGCTGCGTGCATTGCGGTCGGATGCGAGCGCGAACTGCAGTGATATATCGGCGAGCTTGCCAGGCCTGTTTCGCCGCCCGCTCGTGCGCCGTCTGCCACGGTGTGCCGCCGGCGTCCCTGGAGACCCAGCAGTGCGAGATGTGCGACAACCTCGCTCTGTGGTGTCCTGAGTGCACAACACCAGAGCAGCGGGCGGCGGGCCTGTGTAAAACACATTGGGATTCCCCCGAGTGCGCATTCTGTTACAGGACCGAGGACCCCGCCACCAAGGAACCGCTGCAGGTGTCCATGATCGAATGCGGAACAGAGAGCTGCTCCAAAGTCGTGAGGAGCTGCTCTGTGTGCTCGTCGCATTTCAAGAAGAGCGCGGCGCTGTGCGACGTGTGCTGGAAGGCAGCTGGCTCCAAGTGCATCGGATGCCGTGTCAAACCAGCCCGGAACGACAGGGTATATCAGCACTTTTGCAAGAAATGCTTCGGGGAGGAGAGGCTCGCAGACCTCGTCCGTGACGAGAGCAGGAAGTTCCTCGCCGACGAGCCGCGACCGCAGAGGCTCGACGACGACGTCGCCCGATCCGCACCCGCTTTGCAGGTACTCCTCGCTCTGGCAAAGCCCGAGCCCGGGTCCTTGCCGAAGTACGCGGAGACGCCCGAGTACCTGGACCCGAACCATTGCCGCTTCTGCAAGCAACCGTGGGGCGGCTCCGACGACGACGACAAGCGACGGCACCTGCTCGAGGAGTGCAGGCATGATCTCCATCAACGAGACGGCGAAGACATTCTCCAGACGTACCGGAGGACAGTGCTGGAACGGGCGCGCGCAGAGGGCCTGGACGCGGTCAGTCCGCAGGTGGGCAGGTTTTGTGTGGCGCAGTACAAGAATGCGCAGACGGACGAACGATACGTCCATGATGCCTGTGCCGTCTGCTGTCGAAAGACGCCCAAGTGCGACTTGAATCGAGTTCACATCCCATCGTCGAGCAGCGACAAGTGCCCGTTGTGGTTATCGTGGTCCGAAGAGTTCTGGAATGAAAACAAGGAGACGTGGTACGAGCAGGTCGACAAGCTCCTCAGCATTGAACAGTACTTGAAAAAGTTCTTCAAGGTGTCTGAGCGAGCCCAGGAAGCGCGAGAGAGCGTGGAGGCGTGCAGCCGCGGGGAGCCGCACGAGCTCGGGTTCACGAAGGTGGAGGACGCAAAGAACTGGGTCGACCGCGTGCGCCGTTGGGAAGACAATCTGAGGAGAGACATGCGGGAGCACTCCGTTGTCTCTCCAGGTGGCGCTCTCTCTCGTTGTCCCAGCTTCTGTTGTCGTGGTGCTCCTGTGGTCTGCCGTGCTCCGGTGCTCCTGCTCCTGCTCCTGTGGTCTGACGTGCTCTTATGCCCACTCGTGCTGTGTTGCTGTGCCGTGATCGTGTCTGCTGCCGTGGATTGCGTGCTATAGTCGTCTGCCGTGCTCCTGCTGTCTGGCGTGCTCGGCCCCCGTGCCCACGTTGGCCGGGAAAGTTGTCATGTTGTCTTGTGCGCACCCCAGGTGATCCGAATCATCGGTGGGTATTGTACAAGTCCGCAGTATGCACGGATGCGCCCGAGGGCAGCGGCGGAGATCTTCGCGTGAGCATGTGCAAGGAGTGCGCCGAAGCATTGTCGAACACGCACACAGACAGCCGCGGGCGGTGCCGCCCGCGCGTACGCATGCCCAGCGAGGCTCTCGCGAATGGCATGTGGCGTGGTCCTGACCCGGAAGAGCTGACGAACTTAACGTACACCGAGTGCAAGGTGATCAACCTGGCGAGGGTGTACGTCAGCGTGAAGCGCGTGTTGTTGGACAGGGCGTCTTTCGCCAGGACGAGTGCCGACGAGGCGCCGCGCTATCGCCAGAAGAACGTTGTTGCGTACCCGCAGAGCCCGGACGCGGCTCTGACTGCCATCGGACTGTCGCCGATGGCCCTGGCGCACACTCTGATCGTCCAGTTCGTGGGAAGCCGCGCTGACGGTATCTGGCATCATCCTGACTTGCAAGTTTCCGCGGTGCGACTTCGAGCAGCATTTCGTTGGTTGTGCTCCAACAGCTGGAACCACATGGAAGCCACGCGACACCATGCCGCATGTGCGGATTCTGGCTTACTCCACGAGTCGATCGAGGAGTTGCTGGACGCGTACGCGACGAGCGTTGGTGGATCCTCGGGCGTTCCGCGCGAGCTCGTCGACTCGGCGACGTCGATCAGCGGCTCAAGAGCTTCGGTGCAGTCTAAAGGACCAGCTGACTGCACGGAAGAAGGTGAACGCGACACGGAGGAGAACGGGCCCGAAGAGGCGGAGAACGCCGCCGTCGTTAACGGCGGTTTAGCAGACGTCGACTCCCTGCAGCTGTGGACACAGGTCATCAAAAACTTTAAGGCGGCACAGCGGTTTAAAGAGGAATTGGCCGCTCTAGACCCCGCCGACTTATCTGCTCGCGCCGAGAAGAAGAGAATGCACGGTGTGAGCATGGCCCAGGCCATCGAAGACCTGGAGAAGCTGTCGAATGAGAAGGTGCGAAAACGTTTGGAAGAGTGGGCGCGGTTTCCCCAAAATGGCCATTTCGCTCGAGACATCCTCGAAAAATCGAGGATTTCGAGGCTATCGTTTAAGACGTCTTATGTTAAAAATGACGGTTTCGCTCGAGACATCCTCAAAAAATCGGGATGTTGAAAAATATCAAAAATTTTTGGTATGCATGAAAAATGAGCGTTTCGCTCGAGACATCCTTGAAACCATGAGATGCCGACAGAGGTGTTTTACAACCTCTTATGTTAAAAATGACGTTTTCGCTCGGGACGTCCTCAGAAAATGAGCAGGTGGTCTGCCGTGCTCCTGTGTGGAGCACGGCAGACCACGGCCATTTCGCTCGAGACATCCTCAAAAAATCGAGGTGTGGTCTGCCGTGCTCCTGTGTGGTCTGCCGTGCTCCTGTGGTCTGCCGTGCTCCCCACAGGAGCACGGCAGACCGCGCGTAGGAACCGAGAGGAGCACGGCAGACCAAGACGAGGAGCACGGCAGACCAGGCTTAGGAACCGAGAGGAGCACGGCAGACCAAGACGAGGAGCACGGCAGACCAGGCACCAAGAGCGCCCTCAAGACGACGGAAAGGATGACCAAGACGAGGAGCACGGCAGACCAAGACGAGGAGCACGGCAGACTATGCCCTAAGAGTGCCCTCAAGACGGCCGAACAACGGCAGACCCCATAGGAGCACGGCAGACCACAGAAGAGCACGGCAGACCAACAGGAGCACGGCAGACCACACAAGAGCACGGCAGGCCACACAGGAGCACGGCAGACCACACAGGAGCACGGCAGACCACAAAGGAGCACGGCAGACCACACAAGAGCACGGCAGACCCCACAAGAGCACGGCAGACCCCACAGGAGCACGGCAGACCCCACAGGAGCACGGCAGAGCAGACCCAAAAGGAGCACGGCAGACCACACAGGAGCAAGGCAAACCACAGGAGCACGGCAGACCACACAGGAGCACGGCAGACCCCACAGTAGCAAGGCAGACCCCAAAGGAGCACGGCAGACCACCGGAGCACGGCAGACCACACAGGAGTACGGCAGACCCCACATGAGCACGGCAAATCCCAAATGAGCACGGCAGACCACAAGAGCACGGCAGACCACACAGGAGCACGGCAGACTCCACAGGAGCACGGCAGACCACAAAGGAGCACGGCAGACCACACAGGAGCCCGGCAGACGCCACAGGAGCACGGCAGACGCCACAGGAGCACGGCGGAACCCACAGGAGCACGGCAGACCGCGCGCGGGTACAACATAAACGCGCCTTTTTGTTGTACCCCGAACGCCGCTGGCGTTTCCCCAACAGGAGCACGGCAGATCTCACAGGCGCGCGGCAGACCCCAAATGAGCACGGCCGACCACAGGAGCACGGCAGACCCCAAATGAGTACGGCAGACCCCAAAAGAGCACCGTAGACGCCTCAGGAGCACGGCTGACCACACAGGAGCACGGCAGCCTGGGCCGGTTCCGGCGCCGGCCGGCGCCGGAAAATTGAATTCCGAGGCGGTGCCGAAAAAAGGCCACTCCAAGACATATTTTTCTTTCGAAAATATTGATTTTCTGCTCCCGGCGCCCGGGAACCCCTTCCGGGCCGCTTCTGGCACCCGGGCCGGCGCTCGAGCCAAACGCCCGGGCCAGCACCCGGGCCAGCGCCCGGGCCGGTTCCGGCGCCGGCCGGCGCCGGAAAATTGAATTCCGAGGCGGTGCCGAAAAAAGGCCACTCCAAGACATATTTTTCTTTCGAAAATATTGATTTTCTGCTCCCGGCGCCCGGGAACCCCTTCCGGGCCGCTTCCGGCACCCGGGCCGGCGCTCGAGCCGAACGCCTGGGCCAGCACCCGGGCCAGCGCCCGGGCCGGTTCCGGCGCCGGCCGGCGCCGGAAAATTGAATTCCGAGGCGGTGCGGAAAAAAGGCCACTCCAAGACATATTTTTCTTTCGAAAATATTGATTTTCTGCTCCCGGCGCCCTGGAACCCCTTCCGGGCCGATTCCGGCACCCAGGCCGGCGCTCGAACCGAACGCCCGGGCCGGCACCTGGGCTGGCGGCCGACGCGCGATGCGCTGCCACAAGCCAGCTTCCCGCAAGATCGGTCCAGAGTGGGAGGGGACGGAGCTGGGCGGGTGAAGGACCACCAGAGCACTGCTCCAGCCTTCCCTCAGCCCTGGGTCTGCTGACCACACAGGAGCACGGCAGACCACACAGGAGCGCGGCAAACCACAAAGGAGCAAGGCAGACCCCAAATGAGCACGGCAGTCCACACGTTCGCACGGCAGACCGCACAGGAGCACGGCAGACCGCACATGAGCACGGCAGACCAAGAAGGAGCACGGCAGACCACACAGGAGCACGGCAGACCACACAGGAGCACGGCAGACCACACAGGACACGGCAGACCCCACGGGAGCACGGCAGACCACACAGGAGCACGGCAAACCACACAAGAGCACGGCAGACCATACAGGAGCACGCCAGACCACACAGGAGCACGGCAGACCACACGTTCGCACGGCAAACTCCACAGGAGCACGGCAGACCCCAAAGGAGCACGGCAGACCACAGGAGCACGGAAGACCGCACAGGAGCACGGCAGACCACACAGGAGCACGGCAAACCAAGAAGGAGCACGGCAGACCACAGGAGCACCGCAGACGCCACAGAAGCACGGCAGATCGTCGTCGTCGTCATCGTCGTCGTCGTCGTCTTCGTCAATAACGATCTCGAAAATTACGACAAAAAACGATGACAGAAAACGACCACAAACATAACACAAAAACCAACCGAACACGGAATCCAACAACAAAAAAACAATCAGAAAAACGACCGCAATCATAAAATGATAACGACGGCGACAGCGAGAACGGCAACAGCGGACGATTATAATGAAAACGACGACCACGACAAAGGAAAGGCACGCGACGACGACGACGGACAAACAAAAGACAAGACAGGCTGGAACAGAAAAAGTAGGCTGGGCGACAACGGGTGGGGGCCCGCGTGGCCGAGAGAAAAGCACGGTGTCGACACCATGATGTGGCCAGGGCAGCAGACTACCTCGACAGACCAGCGCGGCAGGCCACCATTTAGTCTGTTCTGTTGCGTTTATGGGTTTCTCTGACGTTCTCGCCAATACGGTCTCTGACGCACGTGGTGGATAAAAAACGGCGCTTCCCGTTCTTGTCCGGTCAGGTTCCCCAAAATGGCCATTTCGCTCGAGACATCCTCGAGAAATCGAAGTGTTGGAGGCTATCGTTTAAGACGTTTCATGTCAAAAATGACGGTGTCGCTCGAGACATCCTCAAAAAATCGGGATGTTGAAAAATATCAAAAATTTTTGTTATGCATGAGAAATGAGCGTTTCGCTCGAGACATCCTCGAAAAAATGAGATGCCGACAGAGGTGTTTTAGAACCTTTTATGTCAAAAAAGACGTTTTCGCTCGGGACGTCCTCAGAAAATGAGCAGGTGGTCTGCCGTGCTCCCGTGTGGAGTACGGCAGACCACGGCCATTTCGCTCGAGACATCCTCAAAAAATCCGGGTGTGGTCTGCCGTGCTCCTGTGTGGTCTGCCTTGCTCCTGTGGTCTGCCGTGCTCCTCACAGGAGCACGGCAGACCGCGCGTAGGAACCGAGAGGAGCACGGCAGACCAAGACGAGGAGCACGGCAGACCAGGCTTAGGAACCGAGAGGAGCACGGCAGACCAAGACGAGGAGCACGGCAGACCAGGCACCAAGAGCGCCCTCAAGACGACGGAAAGGATGACCAAGACGAGGAGCACGGCAGAACAAGACGAGGAGCACGGCAGACTATGCCCTAAGAGTGCCCTCAAGACGGCCGAACAACGGCAGACCCCATAGGAGCACGGCAGACCACAGAAGAGCACGGCAGACCAACAGGAGCACGGCAGACCACACCAGAGCACGGCAGGCCACACAGGAGCACGGCAGACCACACAGGAGCACGGCAGACCACAAAGGAGCACGGCAGACCACACAGGAGCACGGCAGACGCCACAGGAGCACGGCGGAACCCACAGGAACACGGCAGACCACAGAGGGGAAGGCAGACCAACAGGAGCACGGCGGACCAGACAAGAGCACGGCAGGCCACACAGGAACACGGCAGAACACACAGGAGCACGGCATAGCATTCAGGATCAGTGCAGGTCGCAGGGGCGCCGCGTATCACAGGAGCACACCAGACCAACACGGCCAATCAGCACGGCAACGCCAGGAGTATAGCAGAGCACAGGAGCGCGCCTTAATTTTTTTCCAGTGCGCAATGCCGTGGGTGCTCTTGATAGCCCTCGACGATTAAGGTCGCTCTCTCACGTGCTCTATGTTGTTGGCATATGTTGTATTGGGCTCACGGCAGACCACACAGGAACACGGCAGACCACACAGGACACGGCAGACCCCACGGGAGCACGGCAGACCACACAGGAGCACGGCAAACCACACAAGAGCACGGCAGACCATACAGGAGCACGCCAGACCACACAGGAGCACGGCAGACCACACGTTCGCACGGCAAACTCCACAGGAGCATGGCAGACCCCAAAGGAGCACGGCAGACCACAGGAGCACGGCAGACCGTCTTCGAGGCCTCTTGGGCCGTCTTGGGGCCCTCTTGGAGCCATCTTAGCCGTCTTGGAGGCCATCTTGGCCGTCTTGGAAGACATTTTGGGCGTCTTGGAGGCCTCTTGCGCCGTGTTAGGGCCCTCTTGGGACCGTCTTGGGGACTTCTTGGGCCGTTTCGGGGCCATCTTGAAGGCCTCTTGGGCGATCTTAAAGCGATCTTGGGGGCCTCTTGGGCCGTCTTGGGCCGTCGGAACGCGGCAGGCCATCATTTAGTCTGTTCTGTTGCGTTTATGGGTTTCTCTGACGTTCTCGCCAATACGGTCTCTGACGCACGTGGTGGATAAAAAACGGCGCTT